TGTATTCTTAACCTGCTTCCATCTCAGTATTGTCCAACTGCAAGTGTTCTATTATGTAAAAATATTAAAGCTGCATTCTGCAGTAAATTATTGCTTTAATGGTTGTATTACAATGCCAAAATATTGCAAGAAAATGACCATTTCCCAAATAGCTTTCGTGTATTTTTTGAAAGGTTATTACTGTCTCTTGCCTTAAAACCTTACGTGAGAAACATTTAATTATTATTCTTTAGAGTGTGACTTGATTTTCGTACTATTACCATTCAGATTTGGAAGAAAATTGACTCTTGGTAGTGTGTCTCACCTCATACACAACATCCAGATTTTAATTTCATAGTTCAATTGAGATATTCTTTCCATTTTTCAGAACTGTAGAAGAAGTAACCATGATGTCATGAGAAATCCAGCCTTTAAAGCAAAATGTTTGAAAATATAGATCAACATTTTATCTGCATGTGTCTTTTGGGCATGGAAAAAGTCCAACAAATGTGGATATCCAAAATTAATTTTTTCAAGAAAATTGCTTGCAAGTAAATATGGAGTAACAGCAAGAGTTTTTTTGTTGTTCTGGTTTTGGGGTTTTGTACCTCTCTCCCTGCTGTTTTTCATGAGTTGTTCTACTTTGCCTCAGCAATCTTTTGGTTTTTTTCTGGTTCACCGAAAGTGGTAGGGAGTTTCACATTTTAACAGGGTCAAAATTCTGTCTTGCACAGTAGACTAAACCTTAGTTTTCTGGTATTATAGTGATAGCTGCTTTAAATTCAAAAAGATGAAAGATAGTGTAGTTTTTTAGACTGTACTCTACTTCCCCTTAAGTGCTTAATCATTTAATTCATGGAGCTAATTTAAAGTTAAGAAAGTATTGTAAAACGACAGTATTTCTTTTTTTCAAAATGCTTTTCATATCATGCTGACTTGTTCCAGTGAGAGAACTTCAGCAGGACAAAAATGTTTTGTGAGAAGTGCCTTAGACACCTTGTTTCTGAACTTTCTTCATTAAAGTTTCATTGAGGAAGGTGTGAAAATCAAGTTGTACTCACTTGCTTTTTTTATTTGCTGCTTGCAGTATAACCTTAAAAGATGTTCTGAAATTATCATCTGCCACTAATCTGTATTACACTATTTGGAGGTTGCCAAAACCTCACTTAATGAGGGCACTTGAACTTGCTTCTGTGCCTGAAGTAAAATGCTTTCCAAAAGCATCCCTGTAGAAGAGCCATAAAGAGTTTAAAGCTGTCCCTTTGACTAGTAGTTGCAGCAGTTTAAATTGCCAGATGACTAATGGTGAGCCTTCCAGCATGGAGTTTCTGTCCTCTGCTGGCTGAACAGCTCCTCTCAGCCCTTTCCCAGTTGTCTGTCCAGATCAGCCCTTTCTGACCCCTCCTGCGGTGTGTCTGCTACACTGCAGCTCTTACCTTCTCCCATACTCTTCTGTGCATGGCACAAGCAGAGTTCATAAATAAAAAATAAAACATATTTTCTCACTACTTCTAGATTACTTAAAACAGTCTCTTTCATAGCAGACTTATGCTGTCTAGCAGCACTGCAGCATCTCCTTTAGCCTTGGTTTGGTTATTAGCATATAAACATAAGTTTAGTGCACCGATTACTCATAATACTAAAAATATGAGCAACTGATTAAACTGTTACTTTCTAGAGTGCTTTGTTCTTGCATCATTATCTATTTTACCATGTCTCTATTTGAAGAAAAGCCCAGAAAACCTACACATACATACATAGTGGTACATCTGTTCTTCGGAAGAGTTGAAGATTTTACTGGCCTGTTTGGATTAGGATAGTTTCTGGTAGGTGCAATTGTGATACATTCTGCACATTTTTTAGTGTGTCAAAAGTGCAGATATGTTGCATTGTGGTTAACAGGGAAAGTGGGGAGGATGCTCCAGGTCACCAAAGGTCTGAAATGCCTTTGCAGATATCCAGACTTGTCCATAGCATTATGTCAGGATGGGGAAATGGGGTTCATAGGTCAGATACTTCAGCTGGATGCCTCAAGCTGAGCATGTGTAGGTGACACAACCTCCTTGTCATTGTTAGAAAGGCTCATGCTGTGTTTTACATTTTTCTGCCTCTTTTTGCATCTTCCATGGCACCTGCACTAGGCAAAGAAAGATGCATGATATGTAATTAACAACTAAACATGTGGTGACTGCCAACTATTCTTAAAGCCAAGAGTATTGAACTAAACAAAAAAACAAAACTGACAGCAAACAAACAAACAAAAAAATCCTTCAAACCCCCCACTCACCCCATCCCTGCAAAAAAAAACCAACCCAAACCCAACAACAAAAAAAAGAAAGCACTTTGTCTACTTTTCTGTCTCTCAGGTTACTAGATAATGGCAATAATCAGATACTTTATTCTTCCTTATCCTTAACTTTTAAAAGTGTATTTTCCTGTATTTCAAACTCCATCCTTATTTGACTGGAATTGCCAACCAATTTAAAACCTCTCAGGTAGAGGTGCTAGCAGATTGCATAAGCTTGAGAAATTCAAATAAAAAAGGATTAAGTTGCTTTTAGCACTGGCAAGAAATGCCAGTATTGCTTCTCTTCTCACATTTCCTTGAAGAAATCCAAGTTGACATTGCTGAAATGTGATGTTTTTTCTCCTTAATAGAAAATACTGGTGCTGAAATACAATGAGTTCCAGGTTAAAGGGCTATGTTTGCCAGTTAGAGGCAACTGAAATACAATTTCAATGGGAAATGATAAAAAAGTGTTAGTTACAATTTCTAATGATGAAATGTAATCTAAACCACAGACTTTTAATGCTACCTTATTTTGTTGTTTTGTGGGGTTTCCCCCCCCCCCATATAGCTTTTCAACATAATGTGCTTTTTATTTTAAAAATTTGAGCAATATCTGTGGCACTTGTGGTTTGGTTTCAAAGAAAACCAGACGTGTGGATCTGAGATGTGTTTCAAATCAAGAGTTGAATGGCAGTGTGTTGAATGGGCTGCAGACCTAATGGCTGGGTGGCAAGCAATATAAACAAGCTATTTTAAGGCTTTTTTTTTTTTTAATAGAATAGGGCAATGCTGCTTTAAAAAAACCAAACTATATTAAAATCTTTTATCTTGACATTTCCAAAAAGTGAACAGTTTCCATTTGTAAAAGAAAGTAATTGGAGTGGACTATCCAGACCTGAAGAAAAGGTAGAGAGTCTGTAATAGGCAAGTGTGTAAGGTACTGCATTGGTCTCTTGAGAACATGAAGCACATATTTATCACTGTTCCCAGTGTTATACTGGGGCAAACCTCTGCAGATGAAAGTGAAGGATTAATGCAGCAAGTAGGCAAAATAAGAGGAAATTATCAAAAACCAAGTAAATTGGGGAAAAATATTTTTTCACAGGGGTCAGTGCTAAATCAAAATAAACTTGATAAAGTGCAGTGAAGAAAATCTAGCTTTTGCTCAGAAGTAATATATATTTATATATATATATATAAAAAAAGTAAAGTTACTCAGACTATTGCTCAGGCTGCTTCAGGGTAGGAGAGACAGATGAACTTTTGGCTCTGGAAAGGTTGACATGAGCCTTTTGAAGTAAAGGCTGAATCCAAGGTGCTTGTTGCACCTGACAATCTGTTTCATGTTCACCTTTCCAGGTGACAATATGAGCAGATCTCAAATGGAGTATACCCAGGCACTTGAGAAACGCTCCAGCCAGAGTGCTGTGAGCCCAGCTGCTTGCACATGTACCAGGGCTCCTGCCTGGCAGGGGAAATTGTCACTTCCAGAGGGGCAGTTGTTTTTCTGGAATAGGTGAGACATTGTACAGTTATAAATGCCTTCACTCAGCCTCCTGTTTCTCTTGTATTTTACAATTGCCTGTTTGTTGGATATGAGAGATAATTAAGTAATTTAAAAGATTAATTGGTTTCATAACTGAATTTGCATTCCAGGGATTCTGGAATTGCAGGAAGCTATTCATGCAAAAAATGCCTTTGTGTTAGTTCTAAATAGCTCTATAAATGTGAGACCTCATTGGTTTTATGATTGTAGCCTTTAAACAAATAGCTCATCTGTCTTCAACACGTTTAATTATTTTAAACATTTAGGGTGAGATTGATTGTCAAAGGTGATTAAGATTTTTTTATCTAATATTTTTTCAATACAGGATTTGCAATTTGATTAAGATGTTGCTAGCTAGCTATCTTTTACATGGAAGAAAATATTCTCTTTGTACACTTGTTTAATTAACAGCCTTCAATGGATCTATTACTATAGCTACTTACATTGTAGCACAGACAAAAAAAGATTAGTAGTTGAGTTCGTAATTTTTTGTGTTTAAACCAAATGCTATAAACAAACTCATAAGTTCCTTGTCATAGAGCTTATATGGGCAATTTCATCAGTTTTTTAATTAATATTGATAGATCTCAAGGCCCAGACTGGGATACTATTCTGTAATGAGTGTCACTTTGTGGTGCAGTGTAATCCTCTATAATTTTCTTCTGATGTAATAAGAATTTTGAAATTGGGGAGGGGAAATATTCATATTAAAAAATACTACTTGCATTTCCCTTAAGTCCCAGCTCTTTTCAGATAGAGCATGTGTGCTTTTATTTTGGTTTTGCCCTAGATGACAGTAAGTCATTACAAAGGCATCATTGCTTTTCTGTAGATTGACTTGTGTGTGGAAATATTAGTACATGGAATACTGATTTAATTTACTGGATGCAGGTTTCTCATAGTTTCTTCTAATTAGCTTGTGTCTCTTGTTCCTGAAGTTAGTTTGTATGTAAACTGAATTTCTCATATAGTTCTTTATAGTCAGGATGTTTTCAGGAATTTCTTTGGGATAAAATCTTCCATTTTATTAAAAGCACACTAGACAGAAGTTGCTAAGCTTGAGATATGTGATTTGATTTCCTTTCAAGTTTCATATATATTTCCACAGAATTTAGAATTCAGTGAGTATTACCTATCTCATCTTCCTTAAATTCAGTTTCACATTCTGTTCCATTTTGTTTGTAGGTGCTCTCCCCACTTTCCTGGTTGCACAGTGGGACTTTTCCCGCTGCTGCTGGTGCCCAGATGGTCTCCTTGCGGGAGGAGCGGCCTCAGCCGTGCTGTGGGTGAGTAGAGGCCATTGGGATGGAGGCCTGGACAGCAGTGCCTCTCCTCCTACTTGCCCCTGTTCTCTTCTTGCCAGGCAGCCTGTGAATTCCTCTCAAACTCTATCTATTTGGCATGCAGCATTGGAATTTCCCTCCAGTTTACAGGCATGGTGGAGGAGGTCTTTTGACAAAAGTTTTTATCTGGAGAAAAACTCTTGGTAGCCTCCCAGTGATGTGGCAGCTCCTGGTTATTCTGTTAGCTGCAGTGAGAAAGAACCATCCATTCCCATGGGCCTCTCAGTGTCTGTGGTTCCTGCCATCAGAAATCTTGGTCACAAAGCTAAAAGACCACCAAGTGTTGCAGGTCATGGGTTGAACATATTCTGGTACTTCCTCTGTTTCTTCTTTTTCTTCATCGATCTGTCACTGAGGAAATCTGGAGTCCTGCTTTGTTAGTAGGAATTAGTGGAGATGTGCAGGACTGCTAGTTAGCAATGGGTGTGGGAAGAACCAACGAAACTTCCTATTTTTTTAGTTTGGGTTTTTTACAGTGGGGCTCCTTTAACCTGTATGTTTTTGGAGGTGCCTAGCTAAAATAAAATCATAGGTTGAAAATAATATATTCAGTTCTGCTTCTTCTTAAAGACCAATTTCTTATCTTTTGTCTGAAGTAGTTCAACAAGATACTTGATCACTGATCATGAAGTTTTTCATGTTGGTTGGAAGTGGTGCTTTGAAATGGTGCTTGATTCAACAACTTAGACAAGCTTTTTCAAACTATCAAGGTTTTGCTTTCCTTAAGTGGTGGGATTAAGTCACCTTCATGCTGAGCATTACTCTGTTAGCTACTAGCTCCATTTAGGATTTGCATAATGCTGTCTTTAAAATAAACCAGTGTAGTTCAAAAGCTATATAGGAGCTGTTAGTACTAAATGAGCATCTGAAAGGCTCATATATTCAAGATTTACTGACAATAATCTGTTAAAGCATTTAGTAAATGGGTGCTTAAGTTTGTGGACCAGCACTAGATAACAGTTTGTGATGACTGCAAGGCTACCTAAATGAGAGTCTAAAGAAGGCAGTGGTAAAAGGACAAATGCCATTCCTTAGCATTTTCCATTACTTAAAATAAGAATTTCACATCTACAAAAAATGTGTAAGCAAGCAAAGTAGAATAAGAGGAGACTTCTGAAGTACATATACTTTGAGGTGGAGAGGGCTATGACATCTGCATAAGTATTTTTGTACTTTATACAAAGATTATTTCATCTTTTTTTAACACAAGATCATTAATTAGAACCTCTGTTCATTTGCCTAATGAAATAATACTCAAATTTAGGCACTCAACATTTGAATTGACTACTCTGTTATAGAATTCCATGTTATGTACAAGGGTGTGGTCAATTAAAGTAGACTCAGTGAATTCTTATTCAGTAAGAAATGTTAAATTCAGGTTAAAAACTAAAGTATTGTTTAGCAAATGTGATTAACTTTACTCATGTTCATTTGGAGCTTTTCTCATTTCAAGTTGTAGTTGATATGAAAACTTTGAAGAACTTTTGTCTTCAGTTTCTTGAAACTTTTTATGGCTGATGTTTCTTCAATGCTGTCTTGATCTTGATTGTACATTACTTGTTATCCTTTACTTTTTCTCTTTTTCCTTTATTTTCTTAGGAAAAATCCTTCCAGGAAAATAATTTCAGTTAACATGTACTGTTTGAACTGTTTTCAAACTGTTGTCAACAGTCCAGTGTTAAGTAGTGTGTTGCTGCTGTTGTATTAATGTTAGAAAGTACAGGAGGTTAAAACAAATCAATTACTGATAGCATTTAGGGTGGTAAATCATAACAGATACTATTTGGTGATACTTGTGTCTTGTTTTTTTAATGATTTCTGCAGATAGCTGTAGTACTGTTTTGTGTTAAGTGATGAGTGGTGGAGGTGGTATAGTAAGAGTGGCTAAGTGGTGACTTGCATTTTTGGGCGTTTTTTACATGTCTTGATCAAAAAAGTCACTTAATACTAATTAGAGACTAAGCATTATCAGTATGCAAATTATTATTGTATCATCATTTTTATCAGTCTTTTTGCTTGATATTACTACTGATTCTGGCTAATTGAATTATATTTTAGGTAGATGTAAGACTTGGGGAGGGGTGGGATACTCTTATGTGTTAAAGCTGACATGGTGAATAGACAAATACCACATCCACATAGTGAATGTAGATATTTGGTGTCTGTGAAAGGAATCGTCTCTGTGTTAAGTGTCTGATGTGAAGATTTTTAGAATTCCATTACACAATTATGTCCTTTGCTCTGTGTGGAAAGATCTTTGCAGTATGAAGCTACATACTACACATTTGTCAGAAATGTATCTTGAAAGCATTTTTCACTATTAGAATGAAGCTGAAGGTGGTATGAAAATTGCCTTTTATGCATATATTTTCAACCCCACCATAAAAAACTGATCAGAGAGAGAAATGGTAGGTGTGTGCTTGTGTTTATCTGCAGTGTTTGACTTCTTAGCGAGCAACAGGAGTGATTTCTGCTGGAGAGAAACTGGTAGTGGGCAGGTGGCCAAAGCTGCCTTGGCTTGCTGAGATGCCGCTGAGGAGCAGGATGCTGAGCGAGTCCAGCTCGGGATTGTTGTGGGATAGAAGTGAGCAAGCAGCTGTGCCAGCTTTCCCTCTGCTCTGTGCGAAGCCGTGGTGACAGCTGCCTGCAGCAGCGGTGTGGGCGGTCAGCCGCCTTCCCTGGCACTGCCTTCAGGTAGAGATGTGAGCCGTGGCGTTAATCCTCTTCTGTTTACTCTGCCTTGCACCCAGGGAGAATTTTCATGTTTATTGCGTCACTGGATAAAAGCCATTTACACAGTGTGATACTCCTCCTCAACTTTATCACCTCATCCACTCCTTTAAACTTCTCCCAAACTAGGCTTTTGCACATCTGATGGTAAATGTTCTTGGTAGTACAGGACCTTTTTTTGATATTGATTTAACCTCAAGACAGAATTAAATCAGTCTCTTCAGCTGCCCAGTTAAACTGTCGGATATTCTCATCAGTTCTGCATATTTTTTATCACTATCATCATTAAAAATCACAGTAGAAGTTAATTTGAATGTTTCTTCTTGTATGTGTGCTTTTATGGACAAGCTGGATGAGTTCATTGCTTGTTTGGTTCTGGCAGCAGCATTTAATGCAGAAAGCTTTAAATGGAGCAGGCGTGCGAAATGCAGCTGAGGGTTGCTTGTGGGGCGAAGGAGGCTGTGACCTGCTTGCAGGTTTGTTTTGATGTGTTCTCCATTCACGGCTTCCAGTGTGCTACTGAGCACCACACTCTGTGCCAGGCAGATCAAAACATTGCCTTTTTCTCCATAGCTGCATCTTTTATTTCTTAGCTTCCTGTGGCTTCTGTAGTGCTGTTGGTCCTGTCAGGAGGCCAAGCCAGGGAAGCTTGCACAAGGAATGCCTGCGGTCAGTGCCAGTGATGCTCTCTATGCCACTTTTCCTGGTTGAAGGATTATTCTGAGTCTTTGTGTTCTGCATTTGTGCCGTTCCTCATGATCTATCAAACATAATTAACTCTTCCCAAATTTGTAGTATCCCCAAGTAACCCTTCTGTCTCCAGACAAAACCAGTGTTTCTTGTTCAATTACTTTTAGCCACTTCAGTGATGCTGCCCGAGGGAGGCATTCTTGGTGTTCTCTGTAGGTTCAGTGCAACAGCAAACACCTTTTCTTATGACCACAGTAGAGTTCTTTTAATTGATCTTGATATGTGTTTCTTTCTCATCCGCATCTGTGGTGATGCAGAGAAATTAGAATATGACTGGAGAAATTTGAATACTCAGGAAATATATTTTTCAAAGAGACATTAGCATGTTTTTTCTGAAGGTACGGGTCTGCTAGCTCTTTCTTTTTCCCAGTGATTTTTATGCTTCTGATTTACTGTTAACAATAATAGGACAAAAATCCACTTGTACATTTCCTAGCTGTTATCAGTAGCAGAAGATATATGAGTATTATTATAGCAAATTCAATGATGATTTTAATGAGTGGGTTTCCCATAATGTCATGATGTTCTGGGTTATTTTTTGTTCATATGCACACATGTGTGTGTGTTCATATATATGAACACAAACTAAACCTACAGACCCATCTGACTAAAATTCCATAATGTGATGCAGCGCTGTTACATAACCTTTCTAAAGTGGCCCATTGCTTCTGTACCATTTCAAAGAACAACTGCATGTACTACCAATGTTGTGCACAGTTCAGCATGGTCAGAAATACCTGGGGTAAACCAGTATGCTGGTGAAAAAAATACACTGGTAATGGTAATGGAATAGAGGTGGTGTCTGTTTTAAAGATATGCCCCAAAGATTAACAGTCTTAAATTAGTAATATAGCAATTGCTTTTTTGTTGTTGGTATTGTAATCAATGATAGTTAGCTTAATTTATTGTACAGTACTAATAAGGCAGACTTCTTTATATGTAATGAAGCTGCTATATGGTGATGCTGAAGGGATTATATATCCAGGATTAAATACATTTATGCTATAAGCCATGGGCTTTTCCAGTTCTCTGAACCTCTGTGTAAACAGAGTGACAGTTTTACTGATGAACATTTGTCTCTGTACAAGGTTTAATAATTTCTCTGTTTTCGTCCATCCCTGTAATATAGAGTAAAGTATTAAACATTGTTTGTATGTAACATTTGTTCGCAATTTGAATTAGTAAATTTTTTCCAGATGACTTTGTATGTTGCATTTACATTTGTACATATATTTTCTTTTGCTATTTATGTATGAAGAGATGTTACTGGCCATGCATATGAATAATTTTGAAGCTTGGATTTTTATAATTAATCAGAAAATTATTGGCAAAAATATTTAAAGAGTAAGATATCACACAGGAAAAATAATTTTAGGACAAATGAAACTCTAAAGCAAACTTTAAAAAAATTAATTTGAATAAGCTTCCAATGTAGCAATTTTTTTTCTTTT